AAAAAAAAAAAAAAAGAAATCAAATTTAAAACGGAGCAGTTTCACCAGTGGGCAGGTTTGTGCTTCCACTCAAGTCTTTTTCTTCTTCGGGTTTTTTTTTCCTTTTTAGTGTATAAATCCCACGACAGCCGCGATTATCCGCAAATATTTGCTTCTGTGAAACTTTTCGGTTGGGCATCAGGTGCTTATTTAAATACAAAAACTATACATTTATACAAAAATAAAAAATAAACGTAGGAGCGTAGTAGTGAGAATTTTATATACAGACAGAAATATTTAGCCGTCGTGTCATGGATGCATCTGATTGGCTCGGTGACTTTAGGGGGGAAACAATGGTGGAAGTGATAAAATAAAAAAATAAAAAAAAGGTGCCTCTCGGCGGCCCTGTCCCCCCCACTCTCCCTACCTCACCCCCTCACCTTCCTCCCCCATCCCTCCTGCATCACTCGTCTCTGAAGAGAAGGGAAAAACGTTCACTGCAAAAGATCGGCGAGTCTTTATGTTAAACATTCCATATGTGAGAATAAACAACAAAACATGGCGAAAAAAAAGGAAATTGTTCTGTAAAAACGTTTAAAAAAAAAACCTATGCAATCGTACCGTGTGGAACATCTGAGGAAGTCCAAATTAAGCAGAAGCTGTGTGGCTGGGTGAGGACGGGGGAGGCAGAGAGGAAGGAGGGCAGAAGAAAAGACTCGGACCAAAAGCTTGTTTCTTCTTTTGTTTTTTGTTTTTCTTTTGTTTTGTTTTTTTTCCCCTTGCGAGGTTGGAGAGAAATGAACTCTGGAATTGTGATTTTTTTTTTTTCCTTTTTTTGTACTCTTTAATATCAAACCTTATCTGCTGTACTGGAAACTGCAACGCCTTCTGTCTCTAATGATAAGTGAGTTTCACAAAGCACACATAAAAGTTTCCTTACAAAATACCTCCAGTGTCTTTGCCTCGTCATTTATTTACTGCTGAAAGCCTCCTCTGGTGAAATCTAACTTCAGTACCGTGTCTTTTATTTCTGTACAAAATCAGATTTTTATGTGCAGTAACTTTAGTATTTGTAATGAGGCTGTTCAACATTTTATGTCATTAGGATAATATTAGAAAATAGTTTTGATCCAGAAGGCTTGAAGATGATCCAGGTTTCAATTTGCTTCCATCATGCTGATGTGTTTACACCATGGAGGACTGGATCTGTGCATGCTGGTCCGCTTTGGCGACGACTAGAGCAAGACGGAAAGTCACTTCTTTTAAATATAAGGGTCATGAGCGGGATTCGAACTCACAACCGCTGCGTCGTGGACTGTAGCCCCTGTTCATGGGTCACCCGCTCAACCAGGTGAGCTATACGGGCGCCCGGAAAGTCACTTCTACACTCAACACCAGCGGAGGATAAAGAACGACCGACGGTACGGGATGTTTGACCGTCGAGCGTTTTCAACTGAGGGTTTGAATCCGACGCTGCTTCGGCCACCAGATGGCGGATCTGCAACAACAGCACGATTTCCAGACTCTCACTCGTCACCGTTAGCCGTTAGCGCCGCTTCGCGCTAGCTCAAATGCTAATAGCCGAATTTGCTCTTGAATGCGGTCATTACGTGCCTTAACGAGCGTCTTTCAATATTGTCCGAGCTGAACACTTTCCCTCTGCCCTGAACTCACCGTTGAAAAATCATGTACATGCCTGTAACACATCCTCAGGCTGCCAACGTGTCTCACATTCAGCTGCTAGCAGTCAAGCTAGCAGGAAGAGAGCGACAGTAACGAAGGTCCGGAACAAAGCCGAGCAGGCGGCCATCTTGAAAATCATGGTGGAACTTCAAACTGTACCACGTAGCTCAGTAGGGGCATCAGCACCTATTGAACTACTGGACTGGTTCGACCTGGACCAGGAGCTAATCCTGGTCCTGGAGACACCAATCCCCTGCAAAGACCTGCTCGGGTACGTCTGGGACAACGGAGCGTCGCTGGAGGAGGAAGAGGCAAAGATCATCCTGAAACAGCTGCAGAACAGCCACGTCTTCCACCGAGACATCAAGCCTGAAAACATCTTGCTTGAGACCGGCTCAGACGTCCCTCGTCTCCGTCTGATTGACTTTGTTGTGAGCTGCGTTGCTGACGACACATCCTGGTTTATCATCTTCATACACCCCACCGGAGTGTTACCCTCACTACAGGTACAGGGCTGGTCCTACCACGGTGGGGCAGGTCGGAGCGGTGCTGTTTGACATGCTGCACAGAAACAACCGGTTCGACACCACCAGGCTGCTCATCAAACAGCTGCCATTTAGCAGCAGCTTGTCCCAACAGTGCAAGGATTTCCTGCACATGTGCTTCACTGAGGAGCCCGCACAGCGGCCCACGCTGGAGGAGCTCCGGTGTCACCAGTGGTTCTGATAAAGCCAGGCACGTGTCCAACAGAACATCAGAGGTCTACAGGTGAGGAGATCTCTCTCATCTTCAAAGGGACCTTCGGCTGGATCAATTTAAAAAAATAGTGTAATATATAAATCCTGTCCTTTGAAGAAAAAAAAACTTGTTCCAACACATTTCTTGCTAAAAGCTTCACTTTAAGGTTTGATTTTTGTCACACTGTCACCTAATAATCTTATTTCAAAAATGCAACTGGGAATATCAAAATGGGTAAGAAATGTAGAAATGATGTGGTGAGTTTGTGTTTTCATGTCATCCTGTCCATCCTTGTCATTTAGGACAGATTTCCAGATTAGTATTTGGTTTTACATTACTGTGGTGGGAGAAGTCATGGGAATGTTATGGGAAGGTTTATGCATCCTTGGGCAAATTGCACATTTGTGTATATATATATATAAATAATAATAATAATAATAATAATAATAACAATTAAGTTATATGTTTAAAAAAAACAACAACTCTGAGCTGCATTGAGAAGCATTCTTTGTAGTAAAACAGTATATTGGGGCACCGCGATGGCTCACCTGGTTGACCTGGGGTCCCATGTACAGGAGCCTAAGTGCCCACACAGTGGTTGTGAGTTCGATTCCGGCTCATGACACTTTCCTGCAGGTCCTTGTCCCATTCTTGTGCCCCTCTTCACTACACATTCAAATACAGGCACGAAAGGCCAAAAAATAACTTTAAAAAAAAAGTACATGTGAATGTGACCCCACTGAGCAGGGGTGGTTGTGAGAGGCTTCTATAAGGCCAGTTTGCCTTCACCTGTTTTGTCCACAGGGGCCATGGCCCCTCCTGGAATCTGATTGGCCTCTTCTCGGCCTCCCGGTGAAATACTGTCTTGTCATTGGGTAGTTTCTTTGAGGAGCGCTAGCTGGTGGTTACAGTGCAGCTTTATGGGGGCGGGGTGAACAGAGCATTGTGATAGTGTTTGTGACGGGAGCGGCTGGAACATAAAACAAGCACACCTCTTCTATCACGTCCACTGACAGACACTCTGAGACGGTGAAGGTCAAATTCAAATGTGCAGCAAGTTGAACACAAACGAGTTCCTGGTATGTTTTATCTGAACTCGTAGATTTATCTTTAGTTCATCATTTAACATTTTGATGACAGAGAGTTGATGTTATTGGGCAGAGAAGCTGATGAAACGGGTCAACCAGATGGTAAATAACCATCAAGAGGTTCCTGCAGTAATGACTATGTGACACCAGGTCTTGCTACGGTGTGTTTTTTTCTTCTTCTTTTTTGAAACAAGGAAAATGTGCTGACGTTAAATGAAGACACTTTACACAGAGATGTTCCCGATCCCAGGACTGAGCTCC